AATCGCAGAGTCAGGAACCCAAAATCATGCTACAACTGGTATCGCGCCTAGCGCGGGCCAGCCAGAGACCCACATTCTCAAGCTCGCCCAGCACACTCATCATTGCGCCCGACGAGCTTGGCCAAATGGGGTCCCCTGGTGGCCACGCACCCAGCGCGATGAACAGCGCTAAGCGCGAAGCTCAGCAGCAACCTTACCAAGTTCGAAAATTTGCCCAAAAACCTGTAAAAAACCCACTTTCCAGCACATGCAATCCAACCAAAATACCACATTTTCATCCAAGAGTTCAAAAATACTACCTTTTTACACATGCAACAACAAAATAAGAAAATCCCCAAATTTTCTCTCATAACCCCTACAACCCCAAAAACTCCATTTCAGCATTCTCAACCAGAAATCAAACATGCATCAAGAAATCTAACTTCCCTTACCTCGGGCAAAGATTCCGAGCTCCGGGAAATGGAAGGCGAAAAACGGAGAAGAAGAGAGTTGGAGAAGAAGATGAAGGAAGAGGCTCTGCACGTTTTCAACCAGAAATCAAACCTTCAATCAGCACCTTAATTTCAAATGGAGCACCAACAAGAGAGCACAAAATCATCCACAGAGAAGTGCAAGTGAGAAGTGAGTGAGTAGAGAGTTAAGTGTTCTGGAAGAAAAGGAAAAGAAAGAAAAGAAAAAAAAAGGGTCTCACAGACATACCTTTTAAGATCGGTTATAAAATAACCGATCTTAAAAGTACTTTTAAGATCGGTTAAAATTTAACCGATTTTAAAAGTTTTCATATTATTTACAAAATTATCACTACGTCACTTTTAAGATCAGTTACCTTTTAACCGATCTTAAAACTTCGATTTTAAATCCAATTTTTGAACATATAAAGTGAGAAAATTGAATCATATTCGTAGGATCAATCATAAAAGATTAAGATTAATAGAGATACATTATACATATGTAGCAACCTTTTTCGTAAAATTAAAAAAAAATCACTTTATTTTAAAAAATAATCACTTTTAAAAGTTTAACTACTGCATTATTTCATCTTTTCAAAACAGAAGTTGAAAACAATTTTTAAAATCTCATAGGGCGTGAGACTCCTTGGGAGTCTCTACCTTGTGGGCGTTGGGCGCAATTTGAATTGCGCTGGGCGCGAGACTAAGGGGGAGGTCTCTACCTTCCCTGCGCTGGGCGCAGGTTTGTCCCCGCCGGGCGCATGACTCTCCTTAGAGTCTCTGCCTGGTAGGCGCTAGGCGCAAGTGGTATTGCGCCAGGCGCGTGAGAGCCTTGGGCTCACGGGTTGGGTCACGCCGGGCGCAGGCATGCTTGCGCTGGGCGCACTGGCCCCCTGGTGCTCTCTGGTTGTATTGCGCTGGGCGCAACTACGAGGGCGCGGAACATCTTCCAGATGTAGATTCTTCAATCTTCAACAACGCCCAGCGCCAGGAATTCACGCCCAGTACTAAGGAGCCATAGAGAGTACCCCCAAGGTAGTCACACCTGACATGAAACACCCCACGCCCAACGTAAATCTTTCTAGGCTTCACATTCATTAGTATGAATGCAAGCCTGATGTTAAGGGCTCAAGCCCGGTGCCAACACGATTTCTAGAAAAACACAACATGAACAGAACACCCCAAAATCCATAATTTATTATACAACCATCCTTTTTATAATCTAATCGGTTAGAAACACTTATCATTACACAAAAAGACATTGTACAACATTAATTTCACAAATCACATATCAATTAACATCATCCCCATTTCCTCATGAACCCTAACCCATAAAGACATTTCAAGAGGGGTTGAATCTTCATCCAGATCATCGATTTCAGTAAACAATACAAGAAATACGAACATAACTCCATAAAAAACTTAATTAGATCATCAATTTCATCTAGAGAAAGGGAATAGAAAAATCCTAAGAACTTAGGGACTTCTCCCACTATCTATTCTCTCTTGTAATCCCACAGGTGAATTACTCATTTCCCCCCGTACCTTGTTGTGTCAATAGGAACAATCTGATGCAGTTTGAGATGATTCTAAGCATTCCTCGTCAAAGCTCCCTCTTTCTCTTTCTTTTCTCTCCTAACTCTTCAAAATGCAAAATGAGACAGATACATTAACCAGTCCACAATGAGTTGTTTTTTTTTTTGTTGATAAATTAAAAATATCATTGAAACCTAGAAACCTTGAGGATAATAGATACTACTAAGGTATGCCCTTAGGGTATTACAACTAAAATCATGAGCAAAATGAAAAACATGAAACTCATAAAATAAACTAAGGTTGAGTGTTGATTTGTATTAATCAATTTTCATTAAAAAATTGATTATATTTACTTTGTAAAACATAAAAATTCATTATTTCATTCCAAAAATTAAATATAAGCCTATAGTTAAACTAATGTAAATAATATTAAAGAGAAATTAAAAGAAATAATCCTTATATATTAAGTACGAACCTCAATCTTGTGTGAGAGTATTTTTAGGAACTTTTCTTTAGTGAGTAAGATTTTTTTTTAACTTTTTATCTAATTTATTTTTATCTATCACAATTATTTATTAATTACAATTTAATATTTTAAAATAAATTATCAATAAATAAAAATATTTTTTATAATACAAATCATTTATTATAAATAAAAGATATAATTTATATGTTTAAAAATATTTATGTATACTTATATTAAATATAATTTATATACTCAAATATATTATTTTTATATATTATTTATTATAAATTTTAATTATATTCTATATAATAAAATACTTGTGTATTATATAGACTAAAATACTAGTAATGTAAGAAAATATGAAATTAAAGTAGTCTAACACATACCAAAATTTAAAACTAAGGTAGTCGCTCAAATATAATTAAATTTTACAAGTTAAAATTATTTAAGTAGTATTCATGCATTCTTTTATGAATGTCATTATATGCAAATAATTTATTAAGGACTTAAATATGTTTTTAGTTCCTCAAATTTGAAAGTGATCTTTTTAGTTTTTATAATTTTTTAAAAAATCTTATTTTAATCCTTATACTCAAATTTCGTTTGAGAATCTGTAAAATATTGTCACATAACTATCTCAATCTATCACTTTCATATATGTTATTGGTGATCTAAAAAACTAAAATAAAATTTTAAAAAATTACAATAACTAAAAATAAAGATTTTAGATTTGAGAGATAAAAATAAATTTACCCTAAATTTAAAGGACTAAAAATATATTTAAGTCTATATTAAATGAAAATAAATGTTAAAAACTTATTAGTATTTAGTCTACATTAATTGCCACACTATGTCTATATATGATAGCCACTAAGAGGATAACTGTGTTGTGTAACTAATAAAATAACAATATTATAAAACATTAAAAAAAAACAAAAGGTGATCATTGATTAGTTAGAATTTTATGAAAGTAGAAAAAATATATAAATTATAAAAAATAGTAAGAAAGAGTAGTTTGAAAATTGTTATAAAAATAAAACTATCAAAAAAGAAAATTGTGTACACTAAATTAAACTATCATATTTATGTATATTATAAATTATAAATTAATGTTATAAAATACTAATATTATAAAAGAATTATTGTTACATGCTACACTACACTAAATATATTCATAAAGCGAGAGTGATTTAATGTGTTACAATAAAATCATAATATTATAAAATAATAATTATAATAATATTATAAAATAAAATAATAATAATTTTAATTAATTCAGTTATTAGATAATCACATTTGTAAAATATAAACTTGTGATTCAAACTAATTAACATCTATTTATTTAGTTTGAATCCGATTTGATCAATAAAATAAAAACTGAATTAATTTATCTTGTTTGAATTAGATTTGATCAATAAAATAAAAACTGAATTAATTTAATTGGTCTCTGTCAGTTGGAAAAAAAATTATATCTTTTTTCTAAATTAAAAAAAAAAACAATTATATATAGGCACGAGACTCCAGCTTGCGTACGTTGTTAGGAGTTGGGGAAGTAGTCAATGTTTGTTGCGAGTTGTGACTGTAGTGTGAGTATCTTTCTTCTTCTCTGGACCGAAATCTCTCTCTCTCTCATGAATATGACTGATGAGAAATACAACTTTTCATTTACCTATGCACTTTGCTGCAATATTTTACCCTTTTATGGTTTTATATCCATTTATCTTCCTTTGCATGTCCTTCTCACTCCTCATTCTTTCCACGACCAAAGTTGCATGCTTCTCGCTTCAAAACGCTACATTAATTCATCTACAATGCTTTTAATTTTTCTTTTCTCACAATTGTTACCAAGTTCTTGATCTCTAGACCCATTCTGATAAAATGTTTAGTTTTCGGCTCACCCCTTTTAATTCAGTAGGCTGAAGTTGAATAACTCCATAACATAGTATATTGATAATAACTTACCAACGTTATAATATTGTATTTTCTTTTTTTCTTCTAAAGTGTACGTACTTGTGATTTTATACGTGCAAGTCATACGAATATAAGAACTTTGTGAAAGACATAATGTCGGCAAAATCAAGTGATCAACACTCCTCTATTATCATATTTATTTTCGGTGTTATTGGTAATAGTGTATACTAGTTTAATTTATGTACGTGAAGATGAGGAGTGATGACTCGAATCCTAGTACGATTAAGAAAGTCGTGCTAAGGTTGTGTGGACTACTCAAATTTATTTGAAGTACCTTACTATGATCAAGAAAGTCATGGTGAGGTCACGAATGATTACCGATCCTAATTCGATCATGAGTCGTATTGAGGTTGCAAACCTGTCTAAACTTTAACCGATCCTAGTATGATCAAGAGGTTATAATGGGGTTGCGAACAACTCAAATAAAAACCAAGGTTGTGAATGATTTGATTAAAAATCCTTTGGCTTCTTATGTTATGCCATGTTCTGAATCACTTATTATTTGGTATTATTTTTAAGTGTGTTCCTTGTTGTGACTGATTTCTTAATATTTTCTTTTTCAATCTTCAGTTCTTGATTAGATAACAGGTCTTTGATGCAATGGTTGATTTTGCAAGCTCCACCTCATTGTGTCTTGGCAATCAGTATTGCTTACAATGGTTTGAATTGCTTATGAGCAGTAGTAGTGCAAGAGAGACAGTTTCCACCACATTTGGTCTAGTCAGTGTCCTAATTTGGCTTTTTGCTGATATACCTCAGTTAATCACAAACTTTACACAAAAATCTACAGATGGTCTCTCTGCTGCTTTCTTGATGATGTGGATAATCGGGTAAATCATGTTTTGTTTTTTTTTTTTACATTTTATGAGTTTCTAAGGGCTGTTACATTATTATTCTAATCTGTTTCAATCCAAAATAATTATTCCTTATTATTCTTATGCATCTTATTGTATGTTGTTCTCTTGTTTTATTTATATCTCAAACATTTCTTGGTACTTAATGGAATCCCTTTGAGCTGGAGCTGATCTTGGCACAGCGATTTGTGTATAGAGCTAATCAACCCAACAATTAAATTCACTGATGACTGAACATAAATTAAAATGTGTCAAAGGGAACCTCCTCCTCTGTTAAGTATGAAGGCTAGTTAGAAGGATGTCATTGTAAATTAGGGGAATCAAGAATTTAAATATCAAGGGAAAGTGGAAGTTGATTAAAATATAATTAAGATATGATGAAACAATTGTTCCAATGCTTAGTTGTCACCTGCAAGTAATGTGTCCTCTGCCAAAATTTCCAAGGGTTCTCATGTTTTCTTGGATGGATTTGGGTGAAGAAGTTAGTTAATGAAAGGGGAATTCATTTTGGCACTTGAAATAACATGACAGGCACCATGATAGAAGTAAAAAGAGATTGAAGCTTTTGAATCAAGGGATTTTTTTATCATGCAATAATAAAAGGAGTATATGGAATGCAAGTATAGTAAAACATGAGAATAATATTTTGGAGATGAAAATTGGGGAATGTACCATATCACAAGGTGCTCAGTTTAAGTATATCAGATCTATCTTACAAAGTGATGCGGAGATTGATAGGATTATCAAAAACATTATTAAAGCTTGGTGCCTGACTTAGAAAAATGCCCAAGTGTAATTTGTTATTCCAAACTGCCTATCAAACTCTTCAGAAAAATCTACTTAGTGAGCATAAAATTAACAATTGTCTATCATAACGATAAGTGTTGCACAGTATAGTGCCAACAAGTGCAAAAGAAGTATGGTGGGGATGAGAGGGTTGAGGTGGAACAATGAATGTACAAGAAAATAATAGATTAAGAATTAATAAACACCACTTACTGAGGAGAAAATGCTAAAATCTCATCTTAGATGATTTGGTCCTAAGCAGACCAACATAGGCCTACCAATTAGAAGATAGTTTGATTAAAAGAGATTGAGGAATACCAGAGAAAATTTTAGAAGAAACCATTAAAAAGGACCTTACTTTTAAAATTTTAACATTTTTCTTGTAGATGTAGACCCATGTCATATGATTGATCCATGTAGTTAATATAACTTAGTTGGCTATGATTGGTTGTTGTATCTGTCTCATATGTACTCTATTTCAGAGTTTGATGTTTTGAGTCTTCCTCATTCCACAGCCTCTATAGTTTTCTGATTTTGTTATGTCTGCATGAAGGTGCCACCACTTCAGATATTTTGATACAATTTCATTTTATTTTGCAGAGATCTATTCAACCTCTTTGGATGCTTGCTAGAACCTGCTACTGTGAGTATTTTTGTTGTCTCAAGATTTTGAGTAGCCTATTTCTAGGAGCAATCTGTAAAATTTGCTCTTGAATAGTTGTTAATCCTCCTAACCATTCTTCCTAATAATCCTCCCATTCACCAAATGAACAAAACAAAGTATTGAATGCTTATGTTTACAAGATATTTAATCCATCTATTTTTTCATTTAATACTTTCTTTATAAAGTACTTTGGAGGATGTTATAGGAGGATATAGTATTACTCTTTGCTCTTACTTTCTCTTATCATTAAGATTCACATCAATTAACCTAACTTTGATCTTACTTGTAGGAGTAGTAGTAGGCATTAGCAAATAACTCAATTCATATATGAAACAGTAAATCTTTTATAATTAAAATGTATCTGTTAGAGAAAATAAAGTTTGGATTCTGAATTGAAGAAAGTACTTGAAAAACCATGAAAATTCCATCTATAGATCTACTCCTTGACAACCCTCTTAAAATCACACAATTTATGAAAATATTCTAAACAATATGATATATAGTTATAAAATTTGGAATGAGCAATTGCTTCATATAACATGAAAAAATGTACGAAAATTCCCTTGTAACTCGAACTGAATATTCTAGCATAGGATTTTCCAATCACTAGCCTCCTATTGACTCAACTAACCATGAAAAATAGTATTGTTCAAATTTTCCATGCAACAATCTCTTGCAAAAGGAAATTTGAATAATCAAATTTGTAAAATTGTTCGGTAAGTCGTTTATCCACAGTGGAAACTAGTTCTTGCTCAATTCATAGTTAAAATGATTCTTCTCGGTAGTTTCTTTTGTTTCTAAACATTTAGAAAATCAATGAACTTATAAACACTTTATTTGCAATATCCCAATATCAATTAAACTTTACTCCTACTTTAGGAGATAATATTTGTTACTGCAGAAAGAGATGCAGAAAAGTTTCTGTATAATGTGATGGAGCAACTTGATGTTTTCTGCTAGTTAGGCTCCCTATGTATATTTATAATTATAAAATAGGGTATAATACCCTCGTATGACTTTTGTTGGAACCGTTTTCTGATTAGCATTTACGTTGAACTTGTAGTTTGTTTAGACAAAGATTGATGTTTGATTGGCCATAACAAAATTGTGTCAAGCACCCTGCTCATTAACATTTATCCTCAAGTTGGTGTATAGATATCAATCATGTCTAATTTGTTTCATATTAGCTGACTGGTCTCCACTCTGTGTTTTGTCCCACATAGCATGGCTCAATTCTTAGGATGCAACTTATATTTTTGTTGAGTAACTTCACTTAATAACAATTGGTCTTAAAATAGAATCTAACGTAGTATCAGAGCCTATAACCCATCTTAGTAAATTGTCTATTTTAGTAGGCTTTCCTGTTCCCCTTGGCATTTGTAGGGCAACTTCACTTGATGCCACTTGAATCTGAATAATTTTCATATTATTGAATTGATGGATACAATAAAATAAATAGGCATAAAACATAATCAATCCTTAAAGTTTAGGGATTTAGATAAAACTGACTAAGGAAACTAAACTAGAAATTAGGAGAGGATAAACTAGTATATCTAAACCATATCTTATAGAATTATCTTAACACTCCCCCTCAAGCTGGAGCATATATATCATATGCATCTAGCTTGTTACATATATATGTTATCCTAGGACCTCGTAAAGATTATTAAAGATATCTGCAAGTTGATCCTTGGAGCAAACTGAGGAGGTCTTGATGATACCGGAGAGGATCTTTTCTCTGATGAAATGGCAGTCAACCTCTATATGCTTTGTTCTCTCGTGAAAAACTGGATTAGAGGAGAGGTATAAAGCTGACTGGTTATCACAAACTAGTTCCATATGACCAACCTTGCAAAACTGAAACTCTTGAATTAAGAATTTTAGCCACAAGAGCTCACATGTGGTGTGAGCCATAGCACGGTATTCTGCTTCTGTACTTGATCGTGCAATAACACTTTGCTTTTTACTCTTCCATGAGACAAGATTACCACCCATGAAGACACAATAGCCTGATGTTGACCGCCTATCACTTGCATCACCTGCCCAATCTGCATCTGAATATCCAACAATGTTTGTATGTCCTCTATCATTGTAAACAAGTCCTTTTCCTGGTGATCTTTTGATGTATCTAAGGATTCGAACAACTGCAAGCCAATGACTCTCACAGGGAGAGTTAAGAAACTGACTTACAACGCTGACAGGAAAGGATATATCAGGTCTGGTCATGGTGAGATAATTCAATTTGCCCACTAATCTCCGATATCTCCCTGGGTCAGGATAAGGCTCCCCCTGATTAGGCATAAGCTTCACATTAGGATCCATGGGAGTGTCAACTGGCTTACAATCTGTAAGTCCGGTCTCTTCTAGAATATCAAGGGCATATTTTCTCTGAGAAATAGCAATACCGGACTTTGACTGAGCGACCTCAATCCCGAGGAAATAACGTAGGGGACCTAAATCCTTAGTTTGAAAGTGTTTAAATAAGTGTTGCTTCAGTGCCTTGATGCCCTCCTGATCATCACCTGTAATCACAATATCATCTACATAAACAACAAGATAGATAAATCTATGTGTCGATGAGCGTCTAAAGAAAACAGAGTGGTCTGTCTCGCAGCGGATCATTCCAAATTCCTGTATAACTTTGCTAAACCGACCAAACCAAGCACGAGGTGATTGTTTGAGGCCATACAAGGACTTTTGTAATTTACATACAAGACCAGACCCCCCTTGAGCAACAAACCCAGGAGGTTGATCCATATAAATCTCCTCCTCCAAATCACCATGTAAGAAGGCATTTTTGATGTCTAATTGAAACAAAGGCCAATGCCTCATAGCAGCCATAGCTAAGAAGAGACGAACTGAGGCCATCTTCGCAACTGGAGAGAAGGTGTCGCTGTAATCCAAACCATATACTTGCGTGTATCCCTTAGCCACAAGACGAGCTTTCAATCTATCCACTTGTCCATCAGGGCCCACTTTAACATTAAATACCCACCGACAACCAACAACAGATTTTCCAGGCGGAGGTGGGACAAGTACCCAAGTGTGGTTGGAGTCTAAAGCTGTCATCTCATCAATCATTGCTTGTCGCCATCCTGGATGGGTTAAGGCCTCCTGTACTGTCTTGGGAATGGTAATAGAGGAAATAGCAGAGACAAAAGCATAATAGGTAGGAGACAAACGATGATATGAAAGAAAGTTATAAATAGGATGAGGATTACAAGTAGAACGACTACCTTTACGAAGAGCAATGGGCAAGTCAACTGAGGTAGGTGGGGCCGGAGTAGGTGAGGAGACTGAAGCAGGAGTAGAATCACATGGCTCAATTGAAGAATCATTGGGAGGAACAACAGTATGTGATCGACGCTCATAAGTTATCCCAAATCGGTGTAGAGGATGGTCAGACCCTGGTAGTGCGGGAGGATCTGGTGCCTCTAAAGTAGCAGGTGTGGTAGGAGGCACACTATGATCAAAATGAGGAATAGGCAATACCTGAGAGAGGAGATCTGAGTCAACCGGAGAGACATCTGTGGCAATAAAATATGGTGTATCTTCAAAGAAAGTGACATCTGCACTGGTGTAAAATCGATGCGTAGCAGGAGAGTAACAACGGTACCCCTTTTGGACACGGGAGTATCCTAAGAACACACATTTGATGGCCCGAGCAGACAACTTAGCACTTCCTGAGAAAAGATCATGGACAAAACAAGTACAGCCAAAGACACGAGGATGAACAGAATAAAGGGGATCCAATGGGTATAATAGGGAATGAGGTACTTGATCATTCAAGACAGACGATGGCATTCGATTTATTAGATACCCTGCAGTGAGGACAGCATCGCCCCACAACTTTGGGGGTGCATTGGCATTCAATAAAAGAGTACGAGCAGTGTCCACAATATGTCTATGTTTTCGCTCAGCTACACCATTTTGTTGAGGTGTATGAGGGCAACTAGATTGATGTAGAATGCCATGAGAAGCCATAAATGATTTGAAGCAATCTGAAAAATATTCTTTAGCATTATCGCTTCGTAAAATCCGAATTACTTTGCCAAATTGAGTTTTGATCTCCGAATAGAAACTTAGGAAAATATTGAATAACTCAGAACGATTTTTCATCAAAAATATCCAAGTACATCTAGAAAAATCATCAATAAAGGTGACGTAATACCTATGCCCCAAAAGAGAAGGAACACGACTAGGACCCCAAACATCAGAATGAATAACATCAAAAAGACACATAGCTCTACTATTAACACTATTAGGAAAAGAAGCTCTAACATGCTTTCCTAATTGACACGACTCACACTCTAAAGACTCTAACCGTGAGAGATGAGGTACCATTTTCTTTAATTTATTCAAGCTTGGATGACCCAGGCGACGGTGGATTAAACCAGGAGACTCAATAGATGCACATATGGTAGAGGTAGAAGGCTGAAGGTAGTAGAGACCATGTGATTCAGATCCGGCTCCAATCGTCTGTCCCGTACTCCGGTCCTGTATCAAGAAAGAATCAGAAGTGAAGGTTATGACACAGTTTAGTGACCGAGTCAACTTACTTATAGAAATCAAATTAAAGGGACATCCAGGAACTAGTAAAACAGATTTTAATGGTAGTGATGGAAGAGGTGATATTTGACCAATACCAGTGGCTTGGACTTTTGACCCATCTGCAAGAGTGATATGATGTGGAGTTTTAGGTGATGATAGGTTACGAAAAAGGGAGACATTACCAGTTAGGTGATCAGAAGCACCGGAGTCCAAAAACCAAGGTCCAATAGACGTAGAATGAGAGAGACAGGCCGTAGAATTACCAGTATGAGCAACAGTGATGGAGGAAGGGGCCTGTTTAGTCGCCTTTAGTTGAAGATACTCTTTGTAATCATCGGCAGATAATGTGATTGGATGATTGCTCTTGGGTTCAATCTTGACTTCTAGAGCCGAAGTCGGAGATTGAGCCACTTTACCTGTCTTGCTCGGAAAGCCATGCAAGGAATAACACTTGTCTCGTGTATGCCCATCTCTTTGGCAGTAGGTACAATGGAGGTTTTCTCTACCCCCTTTACCACGAACACGATCTTGACCACGTCCTCGACTTTCACGGTCAGTTGAACTAGGGATAAAAGCAGAGGGTGTGCCATTCTTGGAAATCTCTGCCATGAAGAGAAAAAGGAGAAGAACAGCAAAAAACACCTCCAAACAATCCCGAAAGACCTCCGAGACAGCAACCAAACAGTCTCGAAATTCCGTGGCAGCACCCAAACAACCACGAAATTCCAAGCAGCAACCAAACGACCACCTACAGTGTGACCCACAACCTAAAAAGGGTCAAAACAAGAAGAAGGAGGGTCGGTGAGTCCAACGGTGCAAACAGTGTCGCAAACGGAGGCCTGGAAGGCGGCGCGTGAACCCCACGCGACGGCGAGCTTTTCTGACAAAAACCGTGCGTGAAAGCGCGTGAGACACCGGTCTGGAGGCAGCTCGCGACGGAAAGGCCGATCGGCGACCTCTGAACACTCAGGCGGCGTCAACTCCGACAACCGCTGACAAAATTCGAAAAACCCTAGATGCCTTGGTGGCGGCTGGGTTAGGGTTTCCAAACCAGGACCAGAATGTTATGGTACCAACTTGAATCTGAATAATTTTCATATTATTGAATTGATGGATACAATAAAATAAATAGGCCTAAAACATAATCAATCCCTAAAGTTTAGGGATTTAGATAAAACTGACTAAGGAAACTAAACTAGAAATTAGGAGAGGATAAACTAGTATATCTAAACCATATCTTATAGAATTATCGTAACAATGCCAATTGATTTTAAGATGGAATCTAACAATCTGGACATGTTTTCACTATATCAGCTGTATTCAAAGCTTAAATTAGTCTAATATTATTTTAAAATATAAAATTTGTGATACCTAACTTAATAAGGATTTGCTAAGTGGATGATCTCATTTCTTGTTCATGCAGATTCCTACTCAAGTATTTACAGCAGTGGTAAGGACTCTGGCTGAAGACTGAGGTGCTCTGATACCTAAAAAATCATTTTTTTCTGACATTTCCTTCCTCTGCTAGTTCAGTGAACTTTTTTCTTCTGTGTTAATGTGCAGCTGTATATCACTTTAACTGCTTCACTTTGTTCACAAACCATTTACTATGGATACATATATCCTCGACTGAAATACTACAGACAGATCAAGGTGCAAACTCCTATACTTTTTATTGCAAGTCAATTTTTTATAAACTGTTGTATGCATGTTGATACATATTTCATGATTTAAACATCATAAGTAATCCTATGTGAATGTGAGTAATTAGTAAATGGCCGAAATAATGTTATCTAGGTGAGATGACACTAACTTCCTAATAATAGACTCCTGGTAAAACGTTTTTGGTAAAAGTCTATATACCAGATTCCTATGTAAGTGGGGATCAAAATTGAATTTCAAATTCAATACAAAAGAATCTGTCAGCTCACAGGATTCGGACATTGGATCTCAAATTGAATTAGAGTTTTGATTGCATTTATTTTTGCTTCTCAGGTTTAGATGATAGAAAAGGATTTAATGTGATTGATATAAAAAGGCTTTTTGTTTTTAATCTAGTTAATGTTGTAGTAGAGAAAGATATACACAATATACTACTTCTGCACAATTTTTGTTTTAAGTTTGTAAGTGACTCTAGCCAGGTATAGATACTTTTAATACAGTTTAATTTCCTAATATATTATATACATTTGTGATCTAACATTCCAAGATTGGGCAGATCAACACACCAACAAATGATGAACAAAGCAAGAGTGAAATGGAGAAGGCCACCGATGTTGATCAGTGCAACGAGTTTGATCATTTCAAAACAGACATTGGTTTGAGTTCTCCAATTCCTGTTCCAGTGGTTACTCATAAGAATTCTGATCGAAGACCATTATACTATCAGTAATTAATCTTTCTCAGTGAAACTTATGCAAAATGCTCTGTTGTTCTGTAGCTTTGTCAACCTAAATATCTTGGTGTGTTAACTGTTAAGCACAAAATAATATTTCTTATTACCTCTATATAGGTCTGTATATAATTGAAATTTTTATTTGTCTAGTTTCATCAGAGTTATTATTTTAAAAAGAGAAGGTCTTTAACTATAACCTAGAAATCATGAAGGCCAGAGAATCTTCAGGTAGAAACAGTACGAGTAAGTTAATCTTATTCTATGGAGCTGGCAATGGCCTTTCAAAAGTGATAAGATAATAAAAGCAAAGTACAAATAATCTATGGTTATCATTAACCATAGATTTTCTACTCACTAGGAAAGTTTGATGTCTACCTTAATTGTGTGGTTCAACATTCTACTGGTAGAATCCTATAATAAAGAAATACTACTATTTCCGTAATCTGCTGCATAAAGGATCCTCATATTTATTTACAGAAAAAGCAATGGTTGAAACGTATACAATGATTAAAGTGCTAAAGAGAATTGACAAGTTAAAAAAAATTGTGATTATGAGGAGGAATACGTGAAAACAAGGTTGTGAAAATAACAACACTCAACAGAAATTTATATTGGGAATATATGGTTCCGTCCCATTATCAATTACAAATAGCTCCTAGCTCTAATGTATCTCTTAATTTAACTTTTCAGATTCTTGACCTTTTGTTTTCTTTGTTAAATATCTCTAAAGTTTATCTTCCTTCTTTTGGTATGATTTATGTGAGGTAGTTTAAAGGCAACAAACTTAACTATGCTCATAAAAGTTCTAGTGGATGTGTTTCTGAATGCATAGTAAGATTCTTATAACTGTTTTCTGAATTCATTAGGTCAGCAAGATATCTATCAAAAAGTCATACTCCTATAGGTTCTATCTTATGTCGAAGACTGGAATCAAGCTTTTATACCGTGAACCCTATAGAAGAGCACTTGCTTAGTTCAACTATCATTACACAATCTGCCCCAGTTTTAAAGATCAAAACTACTCTGTGCTTGGTAAACTTCTCTATCTGTAGTCTTATATATAACAACATGGCAACGCCAGGGTTGAAATCTAATCACATCTAGTCTTGTTCAGGTTTCAACAATAACTTTTCTTGGTATCTTCAACCTACTTCAGTCACCAGATACAACAATTCATCCCATGGGCTCAAAACCAAGACAAGAATTTGTACTACATGTTGGAAGAAAGCTTTTTCAGGTAATGCAACGCAAATCACAACTTGGTTACACATGTACAAGAAATATCCCATGAGCTTCTTCCAACATGTAGTACAAGAATTTGTACTACATGTTGGAAGAAAGCTTTTTCAGGTAATGCAACGCAATCACAACTTGGTTACACATGTACAAGAAATATCTTTTCTACTTGGATATCCACCTGCCTGTAGTAAGTTAGTCACTGCTTACTATAAGAATATTAAGAGCATGTTTGGGTAAACTTCCCTGGAAGCACTTCTAGGAGAGAAAAATTAGAAATAAAAACGAAATAAGCTTCTCCATAAACTGAATAAGCTAATTTGTAGAAGTTCTTTCCGATTAATTTTTCCAAAATTTTATTTTAGCCTCATGTATAAGCTAGTTTTATCTTGTGGAAAATTTTATTTTAATTTTTTTTTTCATATTTTTTTCTCCTAAACATGTTTCTGGAAAAGTTTACCTACACAGACTCTAAGAACATGATTATATGCAAAAATATTTATTGGGTCAAGTTCTAAGGGCTACAGAAACAAAGATACTCTAAACTGAACTTTCTATTGAAGTTGGGATTTATCCAACCAACCTGTGCCCCGGCAAGGGACTATATCAGCTGAGTCAGTTAGAACCTTTTGAATGTATTATTATTAATGTAAGGAAATTTGATTATATTATGTGATGGGGGTGTTATTTTTAACATTAGTCAACTATGGATGAGAAAAGAAATAATTTTGTACTAAAAGTTCAAAACTAACCAACATGGATGGGGTTACATTGATCTTCAAAATGATAAAAGAAATAAATGAAATTTCCAGTCACCTTTCTGTCATTAATTCTTACAGCAATTGCAGGATAGTGGCTATCAGTTGTCAGAACATGGTTCGGCAGGACACCATAGCATTGGGAATCTACTTGGTTGGGCAATGGCAGTTTTATATATGAGTGCAAGACTTCCTCAAATTTGTTTAAATGTGAGTTATAATTCCCTCAAATTTGTATGGTCAGTTTTGGTGATTCCGAGGTTTTAGTTTCTAATTTTTAAATGCAATTTTCTAAATAAAACACATAAAAATGGATTTGAAATGATTTTTAATCCAATTTCAGAACATACTTGCATTCATTTTTAAAATCAAGAAAAAAAATACACTTTCATTACATTTGTCAATGTGGGCAGTTTCTATTCTTCCTATCATTGACACGTTGCCACCATCACTGTCGTTGCAACACCCATCTTACAAACACACCCTTAAACTAATTTTATTAAGATATGAAACTTTCAAAGTGAGTTTATTTTGAAATGAAAAAAAAAAAAAAAACTTATAAAAACTAAAAACTGGTTTTAGCCATCGAAACTTGCAACAAGAATCCACTCAAAACGGACCCTTAGATTGGATATTCTTATTAAAATCTCTTATTTGAGATAAAATCTTTTCTTTTAACTAGTACTGATTGGTATTTGGTACTCATTCATCAAACCACTTGCATAACCTACTTTGTGAAGGACCTGAAAAAAATATGCTGTAGAAATTAGAAAATAATAAAAAAAACATAATGCTCTGTGCTCTGCATGTATTTAACAATGAAAAATAAATAATTGAAATATATAATGTTGGTATTTTACAAGGGTAATTGTATGTATATTTGGAAGATTCACAATCACAATATATAAGCTTCCTTTTCTAATAGAACATACTCTTTGAGCTGGATTGACTTATCTGGCTCTCCTTATAGTTCTAGTTTATGATGACTTAACAATAATTTTCATCTATTTTGCAGATCAGAAGGGGTAACTGTGAGGTTAGGACACCAACCAATACAACTATGTTTATTTATTTGTTTGTTCCTATTTATTATTTAGCAAGTAAAAACTTTGAGATGGGAGTGTGGCAGGGACATTTCTTCCTTTACCAGTCTAGTAAAGATATTTTTGTCCAGTTGTATGCAGCAGTATTAATTAGTTCAGTGGAAGGAATTTAAATTATTTCTATGGTATGTAGGGCATCAATCCTATGATGTTTCTCTTTGCTGTAACTGGGAATGTCACTTATATAGCAAGGTATACTTCCAGTTTATATTACCTTTATTTAAACTCTCTGAACCATAATGACCTTTTACATCTGAAAATGTAGAGGCAGTGTGAACTTATCACAAATATTCAAAGAAAATGTATATCTTGAGGCAACTATTCTAAAGTTTAAAGTATTTAGGTTGCTGAAAATAATGGTATTTAATGAACTTAGGAAATAGTATGTTTATATATCCCATGTTTACATTGCATCACTTATTAGAATCCTGGGGCTATTAAGATTATATATATGGATGATATGCTGGACCTATGTACTGCTCATTCTACGGAATAAGAAGCTTTTCCATTCTATAAATTCTCTCTAGATTATTTTCTCTCTCTTTCTCCCTCTTTAAACTCAACATTGGTGAAGACACATGAATAGTTTCTATATGATATTTTTATATGCCCCAATGCACTAGAGTCCCTGGGACAGCAAGGATTGAACTCTAGACCATTTGGTCATAGGGGCTGTGACATCTTGATTTCATGAATCATCCCAGAAACTTAAGCTATTAAACTAAGACACATGAATGGATTTATATTATGTTTCTAACAATGTACTTTGTTTTTATGTAGCATTCTTGTGAGAAGCTTGGAATGGTCAAGAATTTGCCCAAATCTACCGTGGCTTATAGAACCAGGAGGATGTGTCCTTCTTGATCTTTTTGTATCCTTTTTTTACATGTATATCTTTTAACAAATTGTTCTTGCTAGAGTAAAGTGGATTCTGTGTAACCTAAGTTTTACATAGGATCACAAGGATAACATTAGAATTCATCTATATTTACATCTATGAATAAATCCTTATTTTAATCCCTGAAATTACAAGCATGTCACTTTGGTCTCTAACTTCACATACAAACCCTCATTTCAGTTCTTGACTCTACAAAATGTTATTCACTTTTTTTTTTTTCACTACATTTTCCGCTGACATTGAGAACTTAAGTGAATGAAAGAATTGCAAAGTCAAGAACTAAAAAGAAGGTTGTTTTGTAAAGTCAATAATTGAAGTGATTAACACTTATAATGATCAAGGACTAAAGTTGATGTTTACTCTATGTATTTATATAATCTGAGCTTTCTTGAATAGGCACATTTATTTTCTCATTTTGTATTTTAATTAATAGAAAATTTTGTGATATACACTTAGGAAGCAAACTAAATATGAAATATTCAAGAACCACTTTGACTGGAAAAAAAAAATGAAAATATCATGAAATTTGAACTTTCAAACAAAAAGGAAAAAAGGAAGACAAAATATCTGACTCTGAGATTACCTCACGTCATTGTAGAAAGGAAGCTGGCAGAAATATGTGTACCTTAATATCAGTTTTAGATTTTGATGCAATATGTATATTTCCAATATAGGAATTTCAAAGGTCAGGAGACGAAGCACAAACATCAATATGTTGCTTAGATGAAGAATAATCATGGGTTTTCAGGTTTCTCTCTCTCTCTCTCTCTCGTTATGGGTGGGTGGCTTCACATGCCCATGTATTGGTATATGATTTTGCATGTCATGTATATAATTTTCTAATATCACTTCAATCATCCTTTGTGCTTTAATTTTATATTTTTTTCGTTTTCTCTTAGGTAGTATGAAATCAATTGACAACTAGTTAAGTAAATACTTTCTCCGCATAATTAGTTTTCTATGAAAATGCATACATTCATCAACATTATATATATATATAT